CTGAATCCCCACTCCCATAACCCCCTCCCATTTCCACCATCCCCCACCAAAACCCCTTGACCCAATCCCACAACCAAACCCCCCAAAACTCACCAAAAAACCCCTCCACCACCCCCTAAACCCCACAACCCCACTCTGTCCCCAGTACCAGCCGACGCCTCGAACCCGTCCAGCGTGGTGGTGTCGGTGCAGAACGTCAGCGCGGCGCTGGGCTCGCTGGCCGTGCTGCCCTGCCAGAGCCAGCGCATGGTGTGGACGCAGGATCGCCTCAACGACCGGCAGCGCGTGGTGCACTGGGACCTGCTCAGCTCCTACTACGGTGATGGGCGCACGGAGAGGCTCTGTGATATGTACTCGGCCGGGGAACAGCGCGTCTACAGCTCCTACAACCGCGGCAGGATCCGCATGCCCGACAACGCCTTCACCGACGGCAATTTCTCGCTGGTTATTGAAGGTATGGGGGCGTTTTATGGTTTGGGGTGGGATTTTTTCGTGGAAGGGGCCATCCAAAGAGGTACTGGAGTGTCCATCCTTGGAGGTGTCCACAGAACGCATTTCCAGACAGGAATGTTTCCCTGTTGATCAAAGGTGTGGAGGGGTTTTATGGTTTGGGGTGGAATTTTTCTTGGAAGGGGCCATTGAAAGAGGTGGTGGAGTGTCCATCCTTGGAGGTGTCCAAGGAATGCATTTCCAGATGGGAATTTCTCGCTGGTTATTGAAGGTATGGGGGCGTTTTATGGTTTGGGGTGGAATTTCTTCTTGGAAAGGGTTGTTCAATATGGGAATGACCAGCCCAGGGAGGTGGTGGAGTCTCCATCATTGGAGGTGTCCAAGGAATGCATTTCCAAAAGGGAATTTCTCACTGGTCATCGAAGGTGCGGAGGGTTTTTTGCAGTTCAGGATGGACACCAGGAGACTTTTCTCTGTGGCAAGGGTTATTAAACATGGGAATGGTCAGCCCAGGGAGGTGGTGGAGGTGTCCAAGGAACGCATTTCCAGATGGGAATTTCTTGCTGGTCATTGAAGGTACGGAGGGGTTTTATGGTTTGGGATGGAATTTCTTCCTGGAAGGGGCCGTCCAAAGAGGTACTGGAGTCCCCATCTTTGGAAGTGTCCAAGGAATGCATTTCCAAATGGGAATTTCTCGCTGGTCATTGAAGGTACAGAAGGGTTTTATGGTTTGGGGTGGAATTTCTGCTTGGAAAGGGTTGTTAAACATGGGAAGGAACTGCCCAGGGTGGTTTGGAGTCTCCATCATTGGAGGTGTCCAAGGAACGCCTTTCCAGATGGGAATTTCTCACTGGTCATCGAAGGTACAGAGGGTTTTTTGCAGTTCGGGATGGATATCGGGAGGAATTTCTTCCTGGAATGGTTGTTCAATGTGGGAACAGTTGGCCGAGGGAGATGGTGGAGCCTCCATTCCTGCATAAATTGTCTTAGGATAAATTGTGCATGGATTGTCACAGGATAAATTCTGAATAAATTGTCTGGGGATAAATTGTGCATAAATTGTCTCAGGATAAATCATAGATAAATTGCCTTGGTATAAATCATAGATAAATTGTCTTGGGATAAACCCTGGATAAATTAATTGTCTCGGGATCAACCCGGGCATTGCCGTGTCTCCGCAGGCGTTGCCGAGAGCGACGCGGGCACCTACTCGTGTAACCTGCACCACCACTACTGCCACCTGTACGAGACGGTCAAGGTGCAGCTGGTGGTCACCAAGAGAGGTGGGCGGGGGTCTCACGGGGGTCCCTGGGGTACCCCGGGGGTTTTGGGGGGTCATTTTTGGGTTTGGAGTGGGTGGGGGTCAGCTGGGGGTCCCAGGGTGGGGTCAGGGTTTTGGGGGATTAGGCACGGAAATAGGGGAAATGTGAAAATAGGAAAATGGGAAAATGGGACAAATGGAAAATAGGAAAAATGGGGAAATAGGAGAAATGGGAAAACAGGAGAATGGGAAAATAGGAAAATGGGAAAATAGGACAAATGGGAAATAGGAAAAATGGGGAAACAGAAGAAATGGGATAAGAGAAGAAATGGGAAAATAGGACAAATGGGAAAATAAGAGAAATGGGAAAAGAGGAGAATGGGACAATAGGAGAATGGGAAAATGGGAGAAATGGGAAATAG